GTAGGAATAACACACTCCAAAACTCTAACCAAGTAAGAACCAGTACAATTGTAGTAGTCGTATCATGACCCTCTTTGATATAAACTCAATATATAAAATCGTAGTAGAGATTCAGACCTCAATTGGAACAACATCATTTTCATCATTCGCTAAAAAACAAATATATGTATTGACAACTTTACTCACAGTAGTTTCCAAGTTATAGTGTTCATTGTCTAGCCATCCTTTTAATTATTCCATTTCCAATTGTCGAACCACTCCAGATATTGCCCATACCACACAAGTATTATTCCTGTTGTAGGGGTGACAAACCTTAAAAATATAACATGTTCATGAAGTTCCTCAAACCATTGTTCAACTTCACCATTCGAATATCCTCAAAATGCATCATCAAGTCATATTTTTACTCAACCCCTTTGAATCGTTGAATATTATGAATTTGACCACGCATCCTTTCCACAAGTCTATCACTTCCACCTTAGTACCAAATTTAACATTCAAGACATACAAAACACACCATCTTCTCACATGAAGAACTATGCACGAGTTATCACTATGAATGAGACAGAATGGAATGAAGCGATAAGAATCAGACCAGATCAATAACGTACGATAGAGATTCAAGAAGCGAAGATTTTTCCTAAAAGTCACCATTGCCTCTCGGAGATAAGTACTGACATCTTCGTACCGATCCTCGAGACTCTACTTAGACTTGGATTGAATACACGTGAGACCTATGAACCTGGGGCTTTGATACCATTTTGTCACGACCCAAAAAGGGATGTGATGGTACTCGTGTTATCCCACCAAGACAAGTCAACTTAAAACCCAACTAATACGATAAATATGGAAGTAAAATGAGAATAAGAATCTGAAACTATAAAATAATGTGGAAAACAAGGCCAACGTAAATATACCCTAAAAACATGGTTGTCACGTGCACAAGCCCCTAATGTATTACACTAGAATTGTAAGAAAACATAAGTCTCAAATGATATTGTCTCTAGAATATACCAAGATCATAAATAGGAGTAAGAAGGTCCGCTGAGATGATAAACAATTACCTCACAAATATCCATAGGAAGCCTCGAAAAAGAAGAGAATAGAAAGTATCACAAAGATTTGGGCTCATAACCTAAAAAAATGTAGAAGCAAGGGGTGAGAACCAAACCACACGGTACTCAGCAAGTAAACTTCTGAACACAAGCTAAGGGAATAGAATACGGGTATTCCTTACACCCCAACTGAACCTCCACATCTACAATCTTCATAAAACAAGCCGACCTAACAATTCACAATTTACAAAGCACACAGCTCAACAACAGCACTCTAACAATTACATATCCTCAACAACAATCTCAATATTCATCAATCACAAGTTCCACAGAAAGGCATTCACAAGATCAACAACACAAAAGATCAAGTTAACCAATGATAAAGATGTGCAATGCAATGAAATGTAATGTCAATTATAGTGATGCATGTTTGACCTAATGATACACACCCACTCTCTTTCAGTTTGAGACTCATGGGGGACATATATGCCCATGCATCTGTCGCGGCGTGTGATACGACCCTCGATAATAAAATTTGTTGCACCGTGTGACACGTCCCTCGATAATAGTATCCATCGCAATGTGTGACACGTCCCTCGAATTATAATATCCATCGCGGCGCGTGACACATCCCTCGAAATGCTACATCCTCTTTAATTTCTTAGTCTTCCTCAATTCACATAACACTTATCATAATCATGTCTCAAAATCAATACAAATGACATGTTCACACAAATAATGAAGAGATGACTATTTTCACAACAATGCACAATTCAAAACCACCCAGTCATGATACAACATCAACAATTAATCAATAAGCCTTTCAAACTAGTCTCAACACATTACACACCAAAAATTAAGCACATTGCCTTTTATTACCCTTTTTCAATCATTAGAATTATTCAACATGGACAAGTCAACCCATCACCAAGTCCCGTTACTCCCCAACATATACCACAAGGAAATACATGATTCTGCACTTAACAATGGTTTAGAAATCCACTTGTCTCAAATAATTGAACAATCACTCCGGGACTTGAGTCTTCCCTTTTGTTGGACTTCCAAATCAGTGCAATCTATTCAAATAATAATCACAATAAGATTTTAAAACTAACAACACCCAAATTTATAATCAAGTTCCTAAGTTTTAAGCCTAGGGTTAAGTCTCAATTCCTCCAAATATCATAAATCTAATGGTATTTATATAATACGATATAATCAATGTTTGATTACCTATATATATATATTAAAACTTTAATTAAAATGTAACAACTATAAGGTATGTCTGACCCCATTTTTCGCAAAATAGGTTTTGGTGCACGACCTAACAACTCTTTTGGGTTTGTTTGAATGAAGAGTCGCCACCTAACGAATTAAGCCACATTAGGGAACCTATATAACCTAACTACTTCTAATTAAAGGTCAACGAACCAGAGATCGGATAAGTGTTCAAATTACCTCGAGAAGAAGGTGTTAAGCACCCCTCAAGGTCAACAACTATGGGTCCCGATCGTATCTCATAATTTATGTCAGGGTTACAAATAGCAATTAAGGTCACTTTTTATTAACAGTTAAGCTAAATATTTTAGACTAAGTGATAACGTAAATAAACATTTTACACGAATAAAAATAAGAGATAAGCAAGGATATAGAAGATAGACATGTAGATAGGTGAAAACTATTTTTTATTTGTTAAACTACCCCAAGCAATTATAATTATAAACAAATAGAAAAGGGAGAAAGGGAAAGAAAAACTACAAAACCTTACTTAACATCATTCTACGGATCAGTGCTCGACTTATTATTTTGAAAGGCAAAACCAATGTTTTGTCATTTTATGCTTGAATCAACTTTCATCATCTCCGTTTAAAGGGTCTAACTACCCCTACCCCACATTCCACATGCATATCTTCCTAGAAGGTGATAACGTCCACGTTTAATGTCCAATAGGCATTGGACTACTATTAAGGTGGTTTTAGACAAAAGTAAAATATAGGCTCTTAATTAGGCCCTCTTAACGCCAAGCAAAATATGTTGGATGAGCATTTGGCACATAAGTCTCAAATTGGCCTCTAGGTTAGGTTATTTAGCAGCTTGCAAACACAATTACAAGTGATAGGTCACATGCAAAGTGTGTGGCATACAAACATTCAAGCAAGCAACACAACAGTACAACAATAAATTAATAAAAGGGGCAGAAAGCTATGTCATAGTACAAAATTTATTTATTTTAATGATATTATAATCAGGGGCAGACCAGAAAATACAGCATGCAGGAATTGTTTATTATGTCACGACCCAAGGGTACCCCCTAGATGTAACAAGGTGTACAAGACCCCGAGAGGCCTCATACATGCCCCTTAGCATATCATAACATAAAGTAATAGAAAATGGGGTGGAAATTTAAAACATTTTCAATAATATCAATGTTTCATAAAACGAAGAGGAAGTCTTTAACACTTGTCTCAAACCATCTAATACTTGAATAGTCTTAAGGACACAGCCCATACAATAGTTCTAAAACATAAAAGAAAGACATAAAGGAAAGGTGGTCAAATCCCCGATGCTATGACGACTCACCAAATCTTCACTTCTTACTCTACTATGAACCTAGCCACGGGGATGAAAGTCAATATCGTCGGACCCTACATTTGATAAAAATGTAGGTAAGAGTATGCGTTAGTACAAAAATGTACTAAATATGATGGCTAGCATAAATCATCAACAAAAGTATAACATAGATATTAGTCAACATAAGACATATACCATAATCATAAGAGATAATAACATAAGACATAGGATATAAGCATAAGAAGTAATAACATAAGTCATAAGCATATTCAATGCACATAAATCATTATATCATAAGAGGAACCACTACTACAAAACTAAACTTTAGCGATAATTATTTTGCGGCAATAAGCTAATTATCGCTAATGTATTCATGTGAGGCATAATATCAACAACTAATGTATAATTGCCAGCAATAAATATATTTTTTGTAGCAATTCCAAAAAATAGCTGCAAAAATCCTTTTTTTTCTAAAATTAAAACTCCCGCTTTCTGTAAGAAATTTTGTTTCCCGCCTTTCTCCAAATTCTGTGGAAAAAAGAACTCCTATGAAATAAGGAAAACACTACTAAAAAACTCTCATACGTATGCTATTAAGGAAAATAATATTCCTAAAAAGATTTCCCACACACGAGGATTCTAAATCCATAATCATTTAGAATTATGACGTTCATCAGCAGTCAATAGGGGTGTGCAAAAACCGAACCGACCGATAAACCGAACCGAAAAAAGTGTTATTGATTTATTGCTATTGGGTTATTGGGTTAACGGTTTCCTAATGGTTTTATAAAAAAAAATTATCGGGTTATCGGTTCGATATTGGTTTTCAATAATTGGGTTATTGGGTAAACCGATAACCCATTAAGAGTTAAGACTATAGTAATTTAATACTTTTACATATACAACATACATATTAATAAATATTAATCTCAATATCTTAATAGTTATGTCTTAGTCATTTAGCCATCAATTCATAATTCGCTGTAACTTTGAGTTCACAATTTTTACATTATACAAATCGTCAAAACCTAAAGTAAGAATCATATTCCTCTTTATTTTTCTTTGTGTTACACATGTATAGTTCTTTTCATGTTTGTTATTATTATTTCTATTTTATGAGCTTTTGTAAAGTTATATTATTGTCTTGTCGTGTCAAATTTATTAGAGAAGTCATATATTTGTTTTATAAGCATATTCTTATTGGTTAAACCGAAAACCGAACCATTAAGAACCAAAACCGAAAAACCGAAAACCGATAAAAAATTATCTTATTGGTTCGTTATTGGTTTAGCGTATTTAAACACCGAAAACCAATAAACCGAACCGATAATTCATAAAACCGAACCGAACCGACCGATGAACACCCCTAGCAGTCAACACATATTCACTCAAAATAATGACCTTCCAGCAGCCAATATTTACTCGCAGCAGCAACGTCCAACTCCCAATATTCACTCGCAGCAGATACGTCCAGGAACAAAGAAGTTTTTAGGTCTGTAGGTCGCTCCTCTCCTCTCCTCTATTTTTATCTGCTCTATTAACCTTGTTAATCTGTACATCTTCGTTGAGAATTTAACCTTGTAATTTATTTTCTATCATGTTCAATAATCATTATTTACTCATTAACTGGGAATAAACAGAAAATATACTTGACGAAGTAATCAATATTTAAGTATTAATTGTGATTTCCAAGTGATTTGAGATTCGTAAAACAAATATTTTTGTGTTTGTGATCTCTGGCTGCTATCACTTTGATTGCAATTGATTAAATTGATTCATCAGTTAATATACAATAAGGCATGTGGCTGTTATATTAAGGCATATACTTGTTAGTATATTCAGGCAAGTGGATTTTAGTTCGTCTGTAACCTATGATTATTGAAAAGTTCTATTCTAAATTTGAGAACTAGAACAAAAAACAATTGTTTCGTTTTACTGTGACTTGAGATCTATTTTTTGAAAATTTCAAGTTAAACGATTACATAGATCCTCTGTTGTTTAGATTCATGTCAGTACAATAATTTATATTTCGTCTCCATAAGCTCTCTGTTGTTGAGACCTTTTGGTCTGTTTTCTGGTAGGTTTAGCATTGTCCTTGAATCATCTATTTAATACTCTTGTGATTCGTTTAACTTTTTGTTTTAGATGTTTATTAGAACATGTGTTTGTTGGCTTCAATATTAGCTTGCATAACAATCTTTATTAGCTTCACTGATTTGTCTGTAAATGGTGGTATATGGAGCGAGCGTAGAACTGCAGAAGATATATCCACCCTACTATGTACCTATCAATAAACTACTCCCTCCGTCCCTATTTACTTGTCCATATTTCCTTTTTGGTTGTCCCTATTTAGTTGTCCATTTTGACAAATCAAGAAAGGACAACAAATTTTTCCTATTATACCCTTATTTACACTTCTTGAAAATTGTAAAAGTGTATGTTGTTTCCCTCCAATTTATTTCACTTGAATTCAAATAAGTGGTTGTAATTTTGAAGTGAAAAGTTGTCATAAGGGTAAAATTGTAACTTCACTGTGCTAATCATTGTTGCCTTAATCTGTGTGCCATTTCTAAAGTGGACAACTAAAAAGGGACGGAGGGAGTATGAATCACTAGTCTAAGTGTCTTAGAACAGCTATGTTTCTTTTAATTGGTTATGTAAATGTTACAATCTATTGGAGATACCTGTTACGGCTCCCTCATTTTAGCCCTATGGAAGAGTACCTTTTTATGCAGGTTTGGGATTTAGATTGTAAAACCAATTCAAATGTACTGGTTAGATATCCTGCATATCAATTATTATTTTTGGTAATTAACTGTATATTCATTAATCACCAAATGGTATTTACAGAACATAACAAACTACATCATAGTTTGCTAACCAGAAGAACAAAACTCAAAGGAGATACAACTTCATAGAAAGAGAAGTTGTTGCAACCTAGAACTAATGGCCTTAGGAGCCCTTATACTACACATATAAGCTACCTCTTTAGCAATGTGTTCAAGATTTCTACTTTTGCCTTCAAAAGATATGTGTTTCCTTTCGATCCACACTGCATGGCTACACTCTGCATACATTAGTCTGAATAGCTGGGCAGTGAGAGTGTTGCCTCTGGTTTTCTCTATGATCCAATTTAAGTGTGTGTCCCAAGCATCTGAGGTATAGTCTGGCCATTTGATCCCTGCCATCAACTTTCTCCAAAGAGCTCTTGTAAACTCACAGTAGACAAACAAGTGATCTCTAGTTTCGAGACCATTTTGAGACAGTTATAGCATTTTTTGATGGATATGTTCGTAACATAAAACTTGGAGTAGCTTTGTTGTTGGGCAATGTTGGCTGAAGTTTTAATTTGTGCTTGGAAAGTGCTGTTGTCTGGTTCTCTTTTCTTTAGTTTCCTTAGCTGCTCAAGTGACCTTATCCTTCGTAGCTTTAGCTTCTCTGCTCATCTTATCCTTGGTTGAACGGGATGCTCCACTTATCTTATTGTGCGCTATTCCTTTAGCTGACTGAGCCATCTCGAAAGTCAAATTTTGTGTTGCTTGGGCCTTGTCTTTTATGCAGTCCATTGGTTGACCAACGTTCCCCTATACTCAAAATGTCGCATAAATTAAGATGAGAGATTATCACATAGTTTGAGACAGAAAGAATAGTATGAAAACTATGTATCTATGCTCATGGGGAGCAATTCGACCCTTGGTTTCACTAGCTCTATAGCTCTGCTTATAGGAAGCCATTCTTGCAGTGTTGAAAGTTATAAATTAAATATACATTAAAACAGATATGCACAAAAGTAGAAAGTAAAACAACAATATATATAAATAAGAAGTTTATAAAAGCAAAATGTAGTAGTTATAAGCAAGGAGAAGCAGAATATTGATAGAAATAGAGGAGAGGAGAGGAGCGACCTAAAGACCTAAAAACTTATTTTTTTCCTGGACGTATCTGCTGCGAGTAAATAATGGCAGTTGAACGTTGCTGCTGCGAGTAAATATAGGTTGTTGGAAGTTCGTCGTTTTGAGTGAATATGTGTTGATAAACTTCACAATTTTGAGTGATTAAGGATTTAGAATCCTCATGCGTGTGGGAAATCTTTTTAGGAAAGCAACTAGTTAGGTACACCAACCCTTTTCGACTTGTTAGAAGTACCAATATTTACAACTAGCTAGGTTTGTTTGATGATGATCCTTTCTTCTTTATGTGTTGAATTTTTTAATGCCCAATAGGTCAAGATATGTTAAATATATTAGCTTTCTGATTGATGATGGTACCTCAACAATGTCAACACCATGGAAATTCAATACACACAAAGTCGCAAATACTTGAAATTAGATATCATGCTCCCTAAAACATTATCTGCTAAAAATAAGGTGTATAAAATTCTTTGTTTTCCTTGATAAGTGAAGGCATTGATTCCCTTTAGGACTTCATTGAAAGATACCAAACATGTTGACGACCAACTCCTATATTGCACCACACGTACTAATAGAATTAATATTTTTTCTTTTGGGTTTGCCATTGATCATCTTGTTGTTTCTTTTCCTCCTCATAGATAGGCTGCTGATTTGTTTTAGAGTTTGAAATTTCAGTTTCTATGCTGTCATGTTGCTGCATTTTCTTCCGATCAACTTGTGCCTGCTCACCTTTGTTTTTACCTTTTTTTTCTACTTCTTGGTTCTTCCTTTTTCTAAGTTCCTCATCCCTCTTCTTGATAGTGCATACATGAACTAGGTGACCTTGATGTCTACAATACATACAATAATACGGCCTTCATTTTTTGACTGATTATGCCTTAAACAAGCAACAAAAGTCTGAACAACTGTATAAGGAGTTTTCTGGTATCACCTCATTTTTGGCATTGTGCTGATGTTTTTGAGGGTGAAGATCACCAATCATGCTGGGTTGCTTCATGTCCATTTAGTTTTTGGCTTAACTGCCAAGAAGTCTCTTTCTTAACTACTGTGAAGAATGAGATTGCTTCTGAACTAGAGAGGAAACATCATTGCCAACTCCCTTGCTTCAAAAATACCAATATGAAAGACTATTCATCTGTTCCAATGCAGGGGACTGTCAAGATTATCAAAAGATCAATCTTTATCATTCTGCAGAATTAACAGTTTTACACTACAGTAGCAACAGTCCTTGTGTTCCCTTTTGCTGCCTCGGTTCTTCTTCTACAAGCATTAGTCCCCTCAACGTGTTTCCTTCGAGCAATCCACGATCACCAGCATTCTCTATTTGATGCAGCAGGATTACCATCCTCTCCAAAACTCTTCACCCTTTTGAATTCCATGCTTTCTCAGACTTTGCAATCTCTTTTCTTGCATTTCCTTTCACCCTTACCTCTCTTCTTTTCGCAAAGGCATCCGTGATTGAAGCTCTCAGTGATCAGAAATCATCCAAGAAACCTGCATTTTCTTCTTTTTTCTCACTCTACAGTTCCCTTCTTCTCACTCAAGTTTGCAACTCAATAGTCATCATCTCAGCAAATGCAACTTGTTTTGCTCTCCTATTTTTCACCTTCAATATTTTTAATTACGGATTAGACCTTTCATCAAGATCCATTCTCTTTGTTTTAACAACAGGAGAAATAATTTGTTCAATCATTTTAGCCAGCACTTTGATCATCGGCAACTTGGCACTGGTAATATCAGGACTGGAGAACATAGGAGTTATTTGGCACTGGTACTGATTTGCCAGCCTTGGTATGTTTCCAGTTGATAGTTATTTACCGGGAACTAGCTCCTTTCCCTGAATCAAAGAATTGCCAGCCTTGATATGTTTCCTATTTCATTCACCGAACACATAGATTCATGACACATACATGTAGTCTCTACTAAATTAAACCTACCCTTTTGCAATCTTAAGTTACTAGATAAACAGGTCCATAAGATTGAACATCAGGAATACTATTCTTAACCTTTTTAAGACAGAGATAAGGTATTTCATTATCCACTCTGCTTTTCTGTCCACTCATTTCTACAGAATGTGGAGGTGTAGCACTGAATTTCCATTCAGATACATGTTTTCTTGCTTCTGACAAGAAGTGTAAACGCGCAACTCAAGTCATAAATCATCAAATGTCATCTAGCTAATAATGAAAGACGAATTCAAAATAAAAACTTGACGGTTCAATTATTGAGTGTCTTACCACACTTTCAAATTATTAATCATATACAATAATACACAACTGTAGTGATGTTGTAAACAAAGCAGGGCAGAAAGATACATTGTGTCTATACCAAGGTTAATTCTTTTCTTTTTGGGTGTATGTAGTAAAAAAAATGTTGAATCACTTATTGGAAACTCTGCCTCCACCATTTCAAAGAACATGGGATGGGAAACAAGCTTCTTCTCCTCATTGTTGCCCCTTGATTCAAAACAAGTAAAAAAATGTTGAATCACTTATTGGAAACAAGCTTCTTCTCCTCCTTACTGCCCATTGAACAGGGGGTACATATCAAATAATATTTTTCTGCTAAGTGTTATAGATTTATTTAATTGTCAGTTCTTGTTTATATATCTCACAACACCTGAACATGTTGCACAACACCTGGAAAGCCCTATTTGTTGTTTGCCCTTACTCTATTAAGAAGGAAATTTCCTGGTCTTCACTCTTTGCTCCTAACTCATTTACGCTTTTGGTATTGACTAAAAATGTCATCCGGCTCCTCATCTATTGAACTCTCGGCTTACGCAATGATCGGATCGGAAGAACTTTTTTGATCACATCTGATAGCTTTCCACCATTGTGTTTCTTGTTGATATATCTCATAACACTTGCAGCTGCTACTTCCTCCCCAAGGTGTCAACTAATGTGCACCTCGTCGTAGGTTCCAACATTTCCCATTGTGATTGATCCCCTTAAGTGAAAGCTAATATGCAGAGAACATTAGCTTTTTAAGTGCTAGTATTAGAAGAGTGATAAATGACCTGAGTTTATTATTCTAGAGCATCTTTCAGGTGTTTAACCATATTTGCTTTTTCATTTGATGACTTTCAAATATTTTTTCCTACTAAGGACAGTCAACTCATCCCCATAGTATAAACGGAAACCTGCTAACTATGCGCCTAAAAGAGAGGACTCATCTAATTACACATTAACTAGTAAGCATTAAACAACAGAGACTCCCCTTACAAAGTAAGAAAATAAATAAAACCTAATCATAATAAAAAGAGCTATAACTAAAAAGCATAGCTATATTGAAAAGGTTAATGAACAAATGAGTATAGAGGGTTCTATACAATAAAGTAGATCAACCTTCAGGGAGGTTGTTTGATTCTCCTTAGTTTTCTTTTTCTAAAGTTAGACATCCCCAGATTCTCCAAAATGTAGCTGCCCTTAGCTGTATTATGAAGTTGATGATGAGTGTAATAGTGTTGAATATGATGGTGGCTCCATTTAGAGAGGTAATTTGCAGTACAGTTGGCTTCTCTATAAGTGTGTCTGCATTGAAATGTCTCTAACTGGTTGATGAGGTTTTGGAGGTCCTTGATATGCTGTTGAAGTTTCCAAGGAGGTTTGAGTTGTTGTTCAACCATTTGATCAAAAGTTCCGAGTCAATTTCAAGAAGAATGTTTTGTATCCATGTTGTATGAACCAATGTAAACCATGAGTGGTTGCTTGTGCCTCAGCCTGGTTGTTCGTACCAATGCCTAATGGGATGGAGAATGCATAAATCATGTTTCCCTGGTAGTCTCTCAAAATACCACCCCCTCCTATCTTTGCCGGGTTATTCAAGGCACTTCCATCTATGTTGAGCTTGAGAAAATTGCTAGGAGGTTTATCCCAACAAACCGAGGTGATTTTAGTCTCATGTTCACATCTTTCGATCATAATAATAAGAGTTTACCAACTATTAGGCCATTGTATATAAGGAAAAACAGTGGACATAAGTTGAGTAGTGTCATTGAAAATCAAGAATTTAACCCTCAAGATGCTGGATTTTTTCCCTCCATATTTAGAAGAACATCTATTCTTCCATAAGATCCAGCATACAATGATAGGGACTGCTTGAAGTAACAACTTGTGAGCTGAATTTTTAGGTTTCCCACCCCACCAGTCCATCAGAAGATTTCCCAGGGGCATATGTCTATGACTGATCCCAAAAAAGGCAACATAATATTTCCAGTTATACGTAGCAAAATTCCCTGTAACAAAAATATGGTTAATATCATCCCAACCTGATTTAATGCAGCAGTGACAGCGTACTGGTTCCCCTCCAAAAGTTCTGATTTTTTCATTTATAGGTAACTTTCCCCTCAAAGCTCTCCACAGTAAGAAGGAAATTTTGAATGGAATATTTTTGTGCCAGCTGAAAGTAATTATGATATTTTTGTTCTTCTTCTGCCTGGTAAGCTCCCATGCTGAGGCACAAGTGAATAAGCTATCATCCTTGAGCTTCCAAATAGCCACATCAGAACCTGCTTCATGAAAATGAATTTTGGTGTTGAGAATTTTGGGAACCAGAAAAGGTGGAACATGTTGTATGACCATAGTTTCATTCCAATTCACATCAAGGATGAATTGTGAGATTTTTGTGTTATTAAGAATAGAAATAGATGGGTTGTAGCAAGCCAAAGCCCCTTCCCCTAGCCAATTATCCAACCAAAAACTATAATTTCCAGACTGAATTTTCCACCTGATCTGATTTTCTGCAATATGCTTGTTTTTATCAGACTGAATTTTCCACCTGAGATTTTGGTCTTCTTTTCTTTCTAACTGTTGTTTTATTTGTTTTGATGTTGTCCATTAATCAACAAGACAGTGAGTTAGTTCTGTCTTAGCAACTCACCATTCCATTGCCCCTCTTCTTAAAAATAATTCATTTCTTCGATTTTGTCATCTTTTTTATTTGATGGCACAAAATAAAAATGAATGTTTCTTACTTGTATAGTCACACTACTTGCGATATTTTTATACTTTGGATTTCATCTATTGACACATTTCTTTTTTATTTCAGGTTTTACAATCTAAAGTTCGCAATTTTCATATGTGGTGATTTCAAAGACATTATTCAAAGAAGAGTAACAAAACTTATTTGAAGACATTATTCAATAGTTTGAACAGTATAGGTTTATTTTTAAAAGTTGTGACTGTCTATTTTGGATCAGTACTTCCTTTTGTTTGTCAAGATTTAAAGAGATATGTTCTATTTTATGGATTAATAGTAATATATATGTTTTCACCATTAGCAAAAATTGTTGTTACTATGAGGCTCTCTTTTGCGAGCATGTTTGTTGGATTTTTATATATACATGTTATCGATAAATATAGTAGATATTATTAATGGCGGCTAAACATTTGCCATTAAATGTTATGATATTTAGCGGCAATTCAATGGAAATTATTAGCCATAAAATAGACGCTAAAGGGGAAAACTAAGACATATTTAGAAGGGATATTGTAGACATTACTCACCATAGTAAAATTGTTGTTAAAACTACTACCTTTTAGAACCTATTTATTTCGATTTATCGACTAAAACAATGGACGCTAAAGGACCACGGATAGACAATATGAATTACCTTTAGTAGGCAACATAATTGCCGCGAACAATCACCATTAAAACTACTACTTTTTAGTGGCTATTTATTTAGATTTATCGACTAAATAAATGGATGCTAATAGACAAATAGTTAGCCGATATGAATTACCTTTAGCAGCCAACACAATTGCCTTAAACAATTGACATTAAAAGTACTATCTTTTAGCGGCTATTTATTTATATTTATCGACTAAATCAATGGACGCTAAAAGACAATTGTTAGGCAGTATGAATTACCTTTAGCAGCCAACATAATTGCTGCAATCAATTGTCATAAAATCTAATGGTTTGTAGCAGCAATTCATGCTATCATTTACCAACATTTCCCACAATGGCCGCAAAAGCCTTTGCCGACCCCAACATTGTCGGCTAAAATTCATTGGCCAGTATAGAGTATCGTGGAAAATGATATTGCCGCTAAAGACATATTTTATTGCTGCTAAAGTGCCCTTTTGTAGTAGTGAATACTTCCCAAGTAACCTCAACTTATTCTTACTCATGACTTGGGTCATCCACCTCTAGTTATACATATCAAGGAAGGAAACTAAAAGCAACAATCCAAGCTAATCTAACATCATAACAAGAAATCTCATATCAAAACATACTTACAACACTTCCTTGAAGTAATCTTATTTCATTATAACTATGCTACTTTTATTAGGGATTAGTCCCTCATATTAATACTAGTCAGGGAAAAGTACTTCTTTACTAGTCCAAGACACATCATTACTCATGAATGGTTACGATTTACCAAGGAAAAGCACCTCAATATGCTAGACCAAGCTATCATGGAAAGCATCCTCTCATGCAAGTCCAGGCTACTCAAGGAAGGGTACTATTGCTCAATCCAAGCTATCATGAAATGGTATGGTCTCACCAAGTCAAGCTTTCATGCAAGCATCCTCTCATGCTAGATCAAGCTAACCATTGGAAGGGAACGATTGTTCAATCAAAGGCTATCCATGAGTTTACTATCTCAAGCTACCATGCATGGTCTTGTCTTACCAAGTTAAGCAATTCATGAAGGGATTTCATAGCACTACATCAAGCTATAATAGTTCATACATGCTTTGATTTATTTTAGGTGTGCAAGCCTTTCAACCTAGAATCATTCTATGTGAGAAAACCTTTCACATTATTCATTCGTACATACCTAATATAGGTCGTGTGGATAAATCCTTCCACAACGACTCTATCTACAATTCAACTATCATCATATAGATTTTCTCTCAAAGCCTTACTAAACATGCTTCATCATGCAAGATTTACTCTAAAAGCCCTAATCATCATAACTTATCAATTAAGTTTTACTCTAAGAGCCCTAACAATCATCATTCATCATACATGCCTTAGTCTCAAGAAAATTCTAATCTCAAGCCTTACAAATCATAATTAATCATATATACTTTGATTTCAATCAATTCATGTCTACCTGCTTCATTCTCAAGAAATGCATATCTATATACTCTAATCTCAAGCAATCTACAATGTATCTCTTCAATCCTCGAAGATTACATATAAATCCTTAATTTCCCCTTTCATGGCATAAGACCCATCTTTATCAAATTCATCTTAGAATCATATGTTAGGCATGGATACATGTACAATCATGCTAAAAACATGCAATTCTACCATAAACAATCATAAACAACCATAATCCACTCAATTGGATCATAACCCATAACATTAGAAGAAACCCTAATTTGACTTGGGGAATTCTTCTTCTAAATTGGGGAAATCATGGGGCTCCATGGATGAATAAACCATCATATGTTGATTACAAATCCCACAAATCATGGAAGAATGGATACTTGACTTGACCTAGCTTGAACCCTCTTCTTCTTCTTCTTCAACTTTCTAGAGAAAGAATTATTTGAGAGGAGTTTGGGTTTTCTTTTTGGGATTTGAGTGAATGACTTAGAATGAGTGAATTTAGGGGTCTAAAGTACTTATATAGGTGGTCTAGGCTAGGGTAAAATGACACCACTTAAGTCTAATTAAAACTAGAAAGACCCATTGTTCCCTCAACTCAGCCGCCCAGACTTCACCCCGAGAACCCGCTGACGGATCGTGGATGGACCTACGGTGTGTCCTGGTCAAGCGTGGTTTGGACAGAAAGTTTTGCCCATCTACGGACCCCCTAGCCACGAGCCGTGGATCCATCCATGGGGAGTGGGTCCTGGTGTGGCTACTGCCTTCGACAGTTTTTTTGGTGCCCTTCTGTGGACCCATAGTTGGTCCTTGTAAGGTGGCACCTTGAAGTTCTAACATGTTATTCCCTCTATTTTGAATCCGGGGTGTTACATTATCTCCCCCTTTGGATCATTCATCCTCGAATGATGTTCTAGACACCTCTTAAAGGAAACGACTTAAGACTAACAACCCATCATGCATGCAACACATCTAAATGCACACAACCAAGGAGGAATCATCACTCCAAGCTAAACATGCTCAATGCATCACATGGAAGGTAGGAACTACATCTAACAACCCAAAATGCATGAAATCTTAACATTTCTTATGTTCGAGGAACTATCATCTCCAAGCTAAAAGCATGCTCAACACAATCTCATGGAGCATATATGCAATCTATACTCATAGCATACATCCAAAGAGGAATCTCTCAACTCCAAGCTAAGGCATGTTTTACAACTCATCTCATGAAGTCTATAGGCAACTCATACTCAATGCACTACAAAATGAGGAAAATCAATCATGCAATTCATTTTCTTTCAAAACACAAGTTCTTTTATGAACATGCATAACATAAGGAAATCATGGAGAACACATAAAATACACATGACTTCACACAAAGAACAAACCATGAGGAACTCTTCATCTCAAGCTAAAGGAGGAGTAGAAGGGAAAAAGGATGAGGATATCGGGACATCTTATTGGCCTTGGCCTCCCAATTAGCACCCTCAACTAAGACTCACACTAAAAGATCCCTTCTTAATATTTTTCACGGAACCAACTTCCTTGTCCTTCTATTTCTTAACTTGCCAGTCTAAGATCTCATATGGGCCTACAAAACGGGGACTAAACTTCCCAAACCCATTACACCTTTCAAGGTGAGGAATTCAAGTAACCCAAATCATGAACATTAGGAACACTCAACGACCTTGCTATCTAAGCACACCATCTCCCCCTTGGGAGAAAGCCTAAATAGACTCTCTAAGCATCGCTTTTTTAAATTCTAAGGTTGGATCAAAACATCACTAAGCTTTCACATCCATCACACAAGATGATTCTAAACCATGGCGAACTATACCACTGCCATTTATAGGAGTCTACTAATTGAACACCTCAAGATATTTATCTAAACACCCTATTCATCAAATCTTTTCAAGATACCCAAAACTCATAATGACCACATCAGGTTCTACCATCAATAAAACATAACAATAATGCAGTCCATTCATACTAAAGACAACATCAAAGTCTATCATATCAAGTCTATCAAGTCACAAAAGACAAAGCAACATCGGAGTCTAATAAAGCATAAAACACATACCGGTAGTCACATTTGGAGGACACTCTTGTTCACCTCTAGCTTGAAGAGTATAGAACCTATTTTGCTTTGGGGCATTCACACCTAAATCACTAGGAGGAACTTGTTTACCCTCTCTTCCCTTAGCTTTTATCTTCGGGTAATTCCTCATCTTGTGGCCACTTTCACCACAACTAAAGCAACCCTCCATGCCGGCTAAAAATCTACCCTCATGTCTCTTTCCTCATCTAGCAAAAGTAGGCGATAGTGATTCACTACTAATTCCTTGCGGCTTAGGGTTAGCACCCTATCTTCATTATACTTAGGGGCATTGGGGGAATATTACCCGAAAAACCTTTGTCGATACTTAGGATGACCATGTCCATTGGACCTTACATGAGAGGAAATATCATCATTTCTAGACCTTTTTTTTATCCCTAGCTCTCCCTTTTAGTTTCTCCTCTTCGATCTATTGAGCATGGGTCATAAGATGAGCAATATCCATGTCACCAATGAGCATGGCAATACGAAATTCTTTCACTACTAAATTGGACACTCCTGACACAAACTTACTCATTCTTGACCTAGAGTTGGCCACTAGGGATGGAGCATATTTTGACAATTGAGTAAACCTCAACGCATATTCCTTAACACTCATATTACCTTGCCTCAGGTTAATGAACTCAAGCACCAAAGCCTTTCAGATCTCTAGAGGGAAGAACCTATCTAAAAAGCAGTTTTGAACCTTTCCCACTCTATGGGACCCATTCCTACCGGAATAGCCTCTTTTCATTGATTGAACCAAACATGTGCAACCCCCTTGAGTTTGTAAGCGGCCGATTCCGCTTTTTCCGCTTAAGTAACTCCCATTATGTCTAACACCTTATGGACCTCATCTATGAACTCTTGAGGATCTTCCTCAAGCTTTGACCCATAAAATTTTGGAGGGTTCATCCTCATAAAGTCCCTTACTCTTGAAGTCGTCGTACCCATATTAGGGTTCACGGGAGCTACCACTTCCCTATTGTCTTGGGCCGTCACGGCTTGAGCCAACACTTGAAAAGTGGACCTAAACTCTGCATTAGTCACATCCTCATCCAAAGGGTCAATCGTAGCTTGTGGAGGAGATTGGGGAGGAACTTA